TGGTGAATCCTCTCACCCTCCGCATCTCTGGCCTGTACCCCAGTTCTGTACGAATAAATAAATAAAATCTTTTAAAAAAAAAAAAGAAAGAAAAAAGAAAATTGCTATTTAAGAAATCAAATTGCCATGAGGTAAAAATAATATTATAATCACCTTTCTGAAGAGAGATTAACTTCTTTCAGTTCAGTGCTTAGAAAACAGTGCCCTAAATCATTATCTTTTGTGTATTCTACTATCTTATATGGCACAATTGTAAAGAAAAATAATTCTAAGATAAAATGACTTCAAATAGCCTAGGATAAAACTTTCTACTCATTAGTGCACCCAGTAATTTAGGAACTTTCTTTTGGAACTCCCATAGAAATTTAATTTCTAAACCTGCAAAGGAATAACAGAAGAAAGAGAACTAAAAATAAGATAATCTTTAAGTGTTTTCCTTTTTCTACTACATATATTTTTTTTAAAGATTTATTTATTTGTGCATACAGAACTGGGGTACAGGCCAGAGGCTCAGCGGCGGTGACAGGCTTCACCAGAGACAGAGTGGGGAACAGAACAGACAGATTGAAGAAGTACACTATTGAGGGGAGCAGCGGGCAGGCCAGGAGAGGTCTGCCACACCATGTGATCACCTCCAGGCAGGCAGGAATCGAACTCATGTGGAAGTGGCTTTAGCTTCTCAGTGCTGTGCTTTAACCCACTGCGCCACCAGGGAGGGTCTCTACTACATATTTTTAAAATATTACAGAACATTCATTACTTTTTTAAATTCAAGGAAATATCTAAAGAAGTGGAAGCTGGTATTCCTATCTCCCAAGGGCTCCTACTGGCCTTTTAAAAATAAAATACATCAACATGGGGGAAAAATAACAGAAGAACAACAAAAGTAATTTAAAAAAAATCACCCTGCTCCACATCTCATAAGTATTACTATTACTTTCTTGCATTTTCTTTCAGGAGAAGTATATTTACATACACAAACTTAGCTGTTATTTATTTCTAAAGAAATCATACTATATTCTGCTATACTTTTTTTTTTGTAGTTCAGACAATATCAAGTGATCTTTCTATATTAGCAAGTAGAAGTCTGTATTCTTTATAACTATATAAAATCTATTTGTCTTCATGATGATTTAATAAAATCGCTAGTTGCTTTAATTTTTCTTGCTTTTAAAAGTGAATAAACATTCTTTATATATTTCTTTATTAAACTCTCTCTTCAAAGTTTAATAAACAATAAATGCTTTGCTGAAAGAATCTTACATTTAAATGTAGGTGGCACTAATTTGCCTTCTAGAAGACTACCAATTTATGACCCCAGCAACAGTGGACAAGTGTCCATTTTCTACTCTTGCTAATAATGATGCATTACAGATGTTTCAATATTTGCTAATCTCACAGGTAAAAATCATGATTCATTATGTTTTGTATTTGGGGATGTGGCTGAATACCTTTTTTAAGGTTTCGGTCCCTCATTTTCTATAGACAGGTTCACATTCTTTGCCCATTTTCCTGTTGGGTTGATCCTTTTCTCATTTCTATAATTTTTTTGGTATATTAGGTATTAAGAAAATTAGTAATTTGTTAGTTCTTGGTATTTGGTTTTACTTAGAAAGTGCTTTAATAGCCACAATGCATAATTTTATCCATGCTTTATTTTGAACTCTGATAGTTACTTTGATAGTTTATTTTTCTACTTATAAATATTTCATCCATTTGGAATTTATTCTGGAAGTGAAAATTGACATAGAATGTAAGGTTCCCCCCCCCAAATTAATAATTGTCATAGTTGTACTTTAAAAATAATCCCTTTATGGGCCCTCCCTGGTGGCGCAGCGGGTTAAAAGCACAGCACTGAGAATCTAAACCCACTTCCGCATGAGTTCGATTCCCGCCTGCCCTGGAGGAGATCCACATGGCG